AACAACAGCCCTGTGTGTCTATGCAAGAGGCGTACACAAAAAAGCAAGAAACAGAATCGGATATCCCTATCGACATTCTAAGTGCTGCAAGTGAAAGTGAAGAAGAAGAAGAAGAAGAAGAAGAAGAAGAAGAAGAAGAAGGTGGAGTAATTAAATGAATACGATGCTGTCTACTTTTATTTTTATACTAGCCGCGGGATATTTCTCTCTCTTTTTTTTTTTTCAAAGTTCATGGGTGTAAAATGTTTGCATCTAAAGCAAAGTTTTTGTAAAAAACACTTATTGGGGGGGGGGGGGGGGGGGGGGTTGATACATGGAATTATGGAAGGAACAAACTAAAGGGCCTCAACAGAAAGCAACATACAACTAATTTCAGTCTACGATTAGGACACTGCGGGCTCAACTACCACATGCATAAAATAAAGACTGTGCCGTCAACGTAGTGTGCATGTCAAGCTTGTCTACTCTTCCTACAACTTCGAAAGACACCTGGCCTCAAGAGCAAAGTGTGCAGAGCAAGCTATGTGGGACCACGACGGACCTGCTGCTGGCATGCGAGTAAAAAAAAAAAAGTAAAGTCGGGAGATGTGAACCAGCGTCATTGCACACGGTTATAAACCATAAGTGCTCTGCCACCAGTACGGACAGCTGATAAGAAACTGTCCGCCTGTGTCGCCGTTCGCACGTTACTCTGTAGCTACAGCGACGTTCCTCCGTTTACCCCTCTGGTACCCATTTGCTAGAGGCTGGGTGAATCCCGGGAACCGACCGGTTTCGAGCACCGACCGTGGGCTGCAGCGAGTCGCAGCTGGATTCGAAAGCGAGCCTCTTATTGACTGCGCTAACGCGGCCCCTAATGCGAGTTCATAGAGGCAACCTACCTAATGGTCTTATCTTAGCATATGAAATCGAACGCGAAGAAAAAGATATTTCATTTAACACTCTTTTCTTATTGTAGCTGCGTGGTCTCGAAGTATCTGGTAATCTTAAGTTTCAGCTTAATAGCAAACGGGTCACCCCATAGTTGCTCCGCTCCTGTGCCAACGAAAAACACACAAAATGTTCATCACAGTCCCTTGTGGAAAGATTGACAGACTGCTGTCTCAGCATGTGCGCTAGCATGCACACGCATTAAAAGCATACTGTAGCCATCCGAAGTGCTAACTCAAACAGTCCGACATTAGAAATGCAGTTCATTATAGATGGTAGCACTAGTGACTAGCAGAAGTCACCAACAGATCAGCATTTGCACACGCGATCAGTTTTAATCACATAATGGCACTACTAATATTGCGCCAACCGGCATCGCGCCATTTTCTGAATCAACAATTCATACCACCACGTTGGTCACAGTCAAAAAAAAAAAAAACATTCCACATAAAATCTGCAGCTCACAGTGTCTGCAATGCACTAAACTCAGAAGCGAGGCAACGAAACTATATCCTTCCAGTCCACAAATTGAGCAAAAATGCAACGGCCACCGTCTGGCAGAAGCAAAAAAAAAAAAAAAATGCCACGGCCCAAAAAAAGTAGCCGTGCCTAGCGTCCATTTGACCTGAAGCATTACGTGAGGTTTAATAAACGGTCACCCCAGCAGTACCCTCATTATTACCTGCAAACGTCGCCCCTATAACGACCTGATTGCCATCGTTAACGACCGCTCACCCAACAGCCATGCAGTTCTTTATCACGAAGTAGACACCTTGAAGTTGGGTTTCGGACTGCCGACTCCCTACAAGATGTTACGTTATGTTATGCTATCACAATCGACGTCACTGCACATTGGGCTTTTCCATGCGTGCTCAGTCCTCTGATGCAGCAGCCACTCCAAAGTACTTCTACTAATTGTTCCTATAAGAAGCTGGTTATATTGTCTACTATATGAGCCTTGAAGACGGCAAAGACGTGCTTCACCATGCTTTACTCTCATGTCACTCAGTCGTGTTAGTGTCAGGAGTCCCTCATTATCCACTAGCCCAGTCCATACAGCGTTGACGATATCTGCTCTGTCCATGCTTTTTTCCGCAATCCTTAGTGCGGTGCTTGCCAGTTGGTCCGCTCGCTCATTTCCCTTTACACCCGCATGACCCGGTGTGTAGATCCAAGTTACGGAGGTTAAGTACGATTTTCGAATCATATCCAGCTAACAAGGAAATATGATAATGATCCCATACGCTCAGCGAGATTACCTCAACAATGGCAAAAACCGAAACATATTTAACATGTACGTTGAGCTTCGATATGCCAACATATCACTTATAGCGACCTGCCATCCTAGAGAGGATAAACCCCCACATATTACACAGTATAACTACTAGGGACTACTATTTCAGGACTAAATATGGAAACATACCACGACCGTGAACACGAGCCAGTCTAGCGTCGCTCAGCCCGTCCGATATGACACACCTGTGCGTTGAGACTAAGTGCAGTCAAATAACGGAAGACAGGGCGTCTGACCATAGCAAGCCGACCACAGAGCGACAGCCAAATAGACCGCTAAAAGTAGTAGTAGTAGTTTTACCCTACCAGGACATCCCACAAGCGATAATCACCCGATGACACAAAGTGCCACCATGTGGATGAGGATCACCGTGGAGAGGTCCCAGAAACAGCGTTCAGCCATTAGACCATACTTATGGTCGGGCTATATTGCGGCTCCTGGCAAGAGCCAGGGTAGGACTTCAAATAACGAAAAATTGCATCTCAAAAGGAGATGACAGGATTAAACGATCGCTAAAAGGCTAAGCAAGGTCTTTTATGAACTGATGGCTGGCCATGTTTCTTCACGTTACCGTCTAAAACTAATAGCTGTTCCTGTGGCCTCTTGGGCATTTTTAAACCAGACTAAATCAAGGTATCGGCCGCCGAACAAACCAAAATCGACAAGCTGCTGAACAGCAGTCTTTGATGTTTCGAACCTATTACATCTGGGTAGTGAGATCATGCCCACGTAAAAAAAAATCCGTTGGCAGTTGGAGATAGAAAAGAGTAGCCTAACGTCGCTGCCCGAACAAAATTTTTAGTTAAAAATCTACCTAAAGTATTTCAGAACCCTCGTCCCGGCACTGAGTCCGTGCACTGCGCTGAGATTCTTCAGACTCAGGCTTGAGCTAAAAGTAGAACGGAGCACTTATATGTTACACCAGTGTGCTCTGACGTTGATCCGTTGAAAAAACGTAAACATTCTCATTGCAACATGCCATATAAAAAATGCAGTAAATTCAAGAGGAGTGAAGAAAAGAAAAACAAATTGTCTGCGTGCCCCCTAGTATTAGCGGTTATAAGGCAGAGAAGATGGCGCTTTATTGGGTACTTTCTGAGAAGAGACGAACAGAGAATCCCCAAACAGGCACTGAAATGGGAAATAGAGGGAAACATGAGGAACCCACCCTAAGGCGAACATTGATGAGAGAAGCCAAAAGGTGCGGACTTGACTTGATCCATGTCCATGATACCGAATTAATTACAAAAAACTAAAACCATTCATTCACTGGCAGAATAGATGGAATAAAATGGTATGATAGAATAACTAATTTAGAGCTTTGGGAGAGAACTAAGCAAGCTCCAGTGAACCAAGTGGTGAGGAAAAGACGCTGGCGTTGAAAGGGACACAGATTAAGAAAACTGGAGAGCAGCATAACTAGAATGTCTTTGCATTGGAACCCACGGGGTCATAGGAATAAAGGAAGCCCCCCCCCCAAAAAAAAAACACGGAGAAGAGAGATGGAGAATGAAGTTAGAAAGATGGGGATGACATGGGGAAAGCTGCATGCGCTAGCGAAGGATAGAACGGTTTGGCGTGAGTTTGTTGGGGGCCTATGCTCCATTGGGAACTAGAAAGAGAGAAGACGAGATGATACCGAAGTGATTTCAGAGAATATAACTGAATGGAGAAATAGACTGCGTGCCTTGTGTGACATATAGTGGCACAACGGGGCAATGAATGAATGAATGAATGAATGGATGAATGAATGAATGAATGAATAGGCCACATACATCTGTACAAATAGTTAGGGTACATTTTAAGAAGTTACTTTTTCCGTTATTCACACACAATAAATGAGTTACTATTTGCAGACGATCAATGCCAGTGCTACAATAAGGGGAGTAGATTTCGAGAACATTTGAACAGGCTACATTCAACATGCAGAAGATACAACATGAAAATAAACACTACCAAAACTGAAGTAATAAGTAATGCATGGCAGCAGAATTCCTTATCCACTACACATCTTGTTGAACACTACCTGTCTGAAGCAAGTTGAAGAATTTAAATATCTAGGAAGTACATTCTCGGAGGATGGAAGCAAAGATCGAGAACTAGAAACAAGATACCAACAAGCCTTTGCACTTATATACCAAATGACACCGTTTTTGAGACATCCAAACATAAGTATGGGCGCCAAGAAAAGATTAGAAACAGCATATTCATACTAACACGGTGCTACCAGAGCCAGACTTGGACATTATCAAAGACTAACCGACGTAAAATTACCGCATGTGAAATAAGATGCCTGAGAAAAGCCGCCAACTGAACCAACCGAGACAAAGTAAGAAATGATATTCGCAGACACACTGTAGGAACAACACCATGGTTTCGGCATTTAGTCAGAATGCAGCCAGAATAACTACCAATGCAAGCGCTACAATAAAAGGATCTGAAGTGAAAGCAAAAGGCCGTCCTAGGAGATTATAGATTGATGACATTAAAGAGCTTTTACATCGACCCGGACTGACAGTGGCTATTGTTGCCAATCGCAAACTGTAACTCCCCACAACGCTTAACGACAGAAGTGGAAACTGATGATGATGATTTTTTCCGTTTCTTCAGACTCCACGGAGAATGTTTTTAAACAATATTGGAATGACGTCACCACATGTCGTCTGCCACTGTGTTGGTGGTTGTTGAAACCTGAAACCAGATGTGGAAGTGAATCGGAACCTAAAACCGCAAAACCTCGCCTGATCACCAATTTGGTGTTTTTAACCAGTTCACTATGGATTCAGAATTTGACCCGGAGGACAAATACAGGTTAGTTGATGCGTTATTTATTAATTTTAATGTTGAATAACGGTGAATTATTTTTCAAAAATGACACTTCATTTTCATCTGTGGTTGTCAAAATATAGTCGCTACACACGACAGATTACACTTTCCGAATCAAATTTCATTTTTGTAGCTACTGGATAGTCGGCAAATCTTGCAACGGCGACCTCAAAGGACGTCATCTATTGTAGGTTAACATTACTGTAAGTGTGCGTCGGTCGTTCAACCTCACCAGGACCATACAGCGAGCGACCAAAACCCGGTGCCACAAAGTGCCAACATTCGAATGAAGTCCACCCGGGTACAAGTAAGTCCCAGAAAAAAAAACCCGTTCAACCGTTAGGTTATGTTAGGTATTTGGGGCCCCGACTACATTCTAGAGTATATCATATAATCAGTTCTTTAGGACATTTATGTTATTTGTGTGTATACTAGGAATAAACTCCACAGGGGAGCATCACACTACAGCAGGGATCTACCAATCGTCAGTAGAAGTAATCTCTCGTCGACAAACGTTTCGGCCCACGAGCTCCTAGACGTTTTCAGAGAGTGGGCCCACCTGAGTTCATGAAGCTCAGGGTTGGTTTCCCTGCTGCACGAAATTACCAGATGGTGTTCGGATAGGGACAAGACGACTCGGTGATTTGTAGAAGGTACTGTGAGATAAGAAGTCGTCGCGGTAGCATAATTAGAGCAGTCTGCATACCTGAACGACCGAGCGACAAGCTTACGATTGGTATACCGGACACATGTTGGACTTTTGTTAGCAGGTGGCAGAGTAACACTGGCAGACAATTAGGACACGATGGACTTTCAAGGGATGAGAAACTCTTTTCCACTAGACACCCGGATCAGCTCACCGAGGCCCGTCCCCTACATTGTTCCGTTGCGTCCAAAGCCAGCTCGAGGCCCTCTCAGCAACCTCGCCCAGCCATTTAAGTGTCCGTTTCCGTTCATTACCGCGCAATCCTAGTTCTTTAACCACATTGTAGAGTGAAGTGGAGACGAGACCTCTCGCTCCCACTTCGTCGGCAAAGACACGTACTGTGTACGCCTCGTCTCTCCTCAGACCGGCTGCTAAATCACCGTATTTCTCGAGCTTATACATGTGATTTTTGTCCATACGCGACTCATACGGGACGGTCAACTCAATCAGGATGAGCTGCCGTTAGGGTTAGGGGTATAATTATTATTTGAAGTATTTTCTTGTTCACGACTTTTGAGTGGTGATTAGGATAGATCTCTGATCTAAGATACGACTAGTCTCCTTTTTTTAGCTCGTTGCCACGAAGACAGAGCCTTCAAAGGGAGTTTCTTTATTTGGATAAAACAGAATTATACAAAATAAATGTATAAATCGTTTAATTAGCATATACAAACAATATATATTCTTATAGGAAATTGAATGAACTAACACACTCTTTATGAACCATGCCAACATTCAGTGACATGAATTTTTTTTTTAACACTTGAGACAAACATGACTAAATTAAACAATGGGTACATTTTCTGATGAATGAAGCCCAAATAAGTCATCAGACTTGTGTTTTGAGAAACAAGGATCATGGAGGCCGTTTAAACACCTCTGATACACGGTTTCTTCTCCTTATCCTGCATCCTGTATTTTGGTTGCTATGACACAAAAGTCCTTTTCACCATTGTCAGGCAGAGGTAACCCCATTCCCCCTCCCCACCTCCCCCCCACCCCGCCCCCCATAAAAAAATTGATGTGAAATTAAGAAACACAACAAACTTTCACATAATCACATGTGCAAGAAATATAAGAAGCAATCTGACTGGCTGGTATGAAGCTAGGCCAACCCGTCTTTTTAACTATTTTGCTTTTAGGCCGATAGATGGGCCTAGTCAGCAAACTTTCACAATAGCCGCCGTTGAACAGCTCACATGTGCTCATATGAGAAGCAATCTGACTGGCACGTATTAAGATTGACCAACCCGTCTTTTAGATTGGCCTAGTTATCCTCAAAGGGTCAAAAACAGGTTCTCCTTTAAATAACGGTCGCTAGTTGGACATCAACGGCCGCTTAGTCGAAGTTCACTCCCCTGGCTGCAGTGCAGTTACGGAGTGGACAACTCGCGAATCAAAAAACAAAGTGAGGTCGACATGGCTGCTAGAGCTAGACCACGCGCTGCGACTGACATTAGCGACCGCGTTCTTGCGACGCAAGACTCACGTAGACCACGCGCTGCGACTCAAATTAGCGACCGCGTTCTTCCGACGCAAGACTTAGTGACCGTAGATGTCAGACCTGCGGATCTGTATGTCGTAATGAGCGATAACTTTGCGTGGTTTCCGTGATGTGTTACCCTAACCCTACCCCAAACCCTACCCCTAACCCAAACCCTAACCCTACCCCAAACCCTAACCCTGCCCCTAACCCTATTCCTAACCCTAGGATGACAGGTAACTATATCATTTGTTTTGTATTTAAAGGAGAGCTCAAAAACATTGTCTTAAAATATTGGATTTGTTAATGCCCTTTGTCTAGCTGTTGATCATAGTGTGACCTAGCCATCAGCCCTGTATTATAGTTTGTGACATTGTTATTTTTCCCCTAATATACATATTAACAGATGATCCAAATTAATATAAGTGACCTGCCCATCTACTCAGCCGTCTATCTTTCTATTCTTAGGCTTATGCTTGTACATGCTTATTGATAAAATACAACTGCAATGTGAAAGACGGGTGTTTGAAAAGGCCAAATGTAAGACGGGCCTGCGTGCCCAATTTGTGATCCTTTAAAAAATAAAGTTTGTTCGTTCGTTCTTATATTTCTTTTTTTTTTTAATTTGAATATTTTTGTTTAATTATTTTTTTCAACTGAAAGGTATGTTTAAAACATATAGTCGAACTCATTCCGGCATTTGTAACTAATATTCAATTGTTGTTGATGATGTTTATACTATGCAACCTATAAGACATAATATTTAGGAAGGTCAGAATGTTTGACGGGCCTGTGTACCCAATTTCTAACCCTCTGAAAATAAAGTTTGTTTGTTTGTTCATTCATTCGTTCTTCAGGTCATTTTTGAAACAATAAGCATTCACAAATGATCACATTGGCTACTAGTCTGCTGCTTTTCTCCCAATGGGATCCCGTAATGTTTAACATTCCTTCATTTTCCCATACTACTATTGTTCTCTGGGTTTCCTTAGGTCGTGCCCGTCTGCTTTTTCCCGTGCCATCGACCAGAGAGCTGACCCTTCTGAAGTGTCACATCTGTTCAGTGTGGCCTAGCTGGCTCAGTGGAGGACATTCTGTAACTGTCCAGTAATCAATAGATTTCCTTCCTGGTCTGTTAGTCCTGGTTTAAACAGTTTAGTTTACCTTTGACACACTGAAAACTTTCTAGTGTGAATGGGTTTTTCCTCCCTTAACATACGAAATGGTAGATTTGACATACATATCACTCGAGGTGTAGTTGGCCAAGGGATAAAAGAACTACTCTCACGAGGGAGAACCAAGTTCATTTCTAGGTAAGTGATGGAGTTTTGAAAAATCCTGTTTCTCATGACCACAGTGTCCTACATCACTCTAAAAGTGGTTGATACGGTCAGTAAAGACAGTTATAAAAGACAAATTATAAGTGCAGTCTTCATATCCACCTTGTGCTATCAGTGTCAGACATGGACATTGACTACAGAACACAAGACAAAACTGACCATCTGTGAAATGAGATGTTGAAGGCCATGAACAGAACTAGAACAACATGACATGGGAAAGATGAAGAAATGACAAGAACTATTGGGACAACACCTATAATGAACTTCATTGAGAAACAAAGATTTAAATGGTTTGGCCATTTAATAGAATGAAACCATTGATGCCAGCAATAAGAGATACCATGTGAAAGTAGAAATGCAGAGAGATAGGGGACGACCAGAAGAAGATGGATTGAAGGAGTCACTGATACCTTGAGACTCCACAACATTACAGTATACTGGGAAACTGAGCGTGCGGTAGCCTTAAAACAAAATGGGCACCACATCATTTGTAGAATGTTCTAGGATGGGAAATCGGTGGGGAAGAAAACTGACCACACTATCTCATTTGAGGGCTAAGAAAATGTGAAGCTTAGCACATCGTAACACAATAACAGTATGGTATATGTCTACTTTTACCTCTCTGTTTAAACTCTTTTTGTTAAGTTCACTTTTGTTGATTTGTGTGCTTAAATTTTTAACATACAGGTAAGGGGCTGTAAGGCCTGTTGGTTAATGTGTTTGCCTGCTAAGACAGGGTTCTTGGTTTTTGCCCCCAAAACATCGGTTATTATGTTGTGTACAGCTAGGCTGTGATATCTGCAACTTTCAGCCAAGTACATCTGATCTCCTAGTCCTAGAAATCCTAGTTACCCTTTACAAATGCATGTTAGATGGCAGTAATTTTACACCCCCCTTCCCCATTCTCTACCCCCCCCCCCCCCCACCACCACCACCACCAAAATGGGGATCCCACATGGGGAAGACAGTGCGTCAATCACCAGCCTTAGAAGGGCTTTTCCTGACCACTAAGGTACATGGTACCTAATGCTTTAGATATGTTCCTGAAGCCGGTACTTGGGCACAAATTTCCACTGTTGTGATCTCTACATTCTGTTGTAGCTGGTACTTTGGCATGCTGTCCAGGGAGAAGACCAATGAGATCTTGATGGAGCAGGACTACGATGGGACATTCCTTGTCCGGGACAGTAAGTCCTGCCAGGGGGACTTTGTGCTGTGTGTCAGGTAAGTAGTTTCTCTTCTATGTTCCGTGTAAATCATCTTCTCCCCATTTCTTCAGGCCCCCCCCCCCCACCGCCCCGCCCATTGTGGGCTGATTTCAAAGAAGGACAGAATGCCATAACTGCCTGTATTTGCTTCTTTTGCGATGCGCAAACGGGGGGGGGGGGGGGGGGGGGATCTTTGAGCCCAAATATATATATATATATATATATATATATATATATATATACATATATATACACAGACTGGGCAAGCTATGAATATAATTTTTGGCCTCAGCAGAAAAATTCCCCAGCCGTACCAAGGATTTGAACTCTCCTGTGGACTGCTACAGTAAAGTTTGACCACTGTGACATTCCAGAATCTCCATTGGCTGTCAGGTCAGCAGGGCTATTCACAGACACCCTGTTCAACCTCCAGAGAAGTAATAATTGAGGCACCTATAAGCTGCAGTCTTGTGCAGATCAAGATTTGGTATTCAAAATTATTCCACATCAATATCTTGTTGTTTAATTTCTTCTTCTTTTCTTTGCATTTAGTTTTATGTGCTCAGGTCAGTTCGTCAGGTCTCTATGAACTCGCATGTCAGCTGCAGGTCCTTCATGGTTCCCCATAGCTTACTTTGCACTTAAGGCCAGGTGTCTTTTTGAAGTTGTAGGTAGAGTGAGCAGGTCTGCAGAATGAGCTCAGGTGTTTGTGGTCCTGTCTTTATTTTATGCATGTGGTAGTTGAGCCTGTAGTGTTCCTGTTCATAGACATAAAATTGTATGTTGCTTTCCCTTGAGTCTGCTGATGGGGTCTTGTGGATGTTTACTGTTGGTTTGTTCTCTCCACAATTGTTTGCATTTTCCCTTGATAAGTGTTTTGATTTCTGGTAATGTAAATGAATGAGTGTGTTGCTTCTCCTTTGTTCCATTTTTTTTTCTGTCTGTCTGTCTGCTAACTGGTTGAATTTGAGATGCATGAAATGATAAGAGAAATTAGACATAAGGTAAGTCAAGGACCCTTTGCCATGCTTTTGATGCATCAGGCATTTAGTGCTAGATTTGTACTTTTATAAACCAGTCGACACTTGATAGGTTGAGTTGAGTCAAGGTTGACATCACAGCATTTGGGGCATTCCCATGTGTGCTCCGTCCTCATCTTCAGCAGCCAGTGCAGAGTATACTGATGGTACCGGTCACAATCTGGTTATATGTCCGTCTTGCTTTTCCTTTTAAAGTGTAGTGAGCCGGCCAGATTCTCTGGTTACACCCAGTGTCTCATTCTCTTCAGGTCATAATAATCTTGTTTCTCTGCTAATTCTGTTGCTTGTTCCCAAAGGGTCTTGACCACATCTGCCTTGTCATATATCAATTCACCACCAAGTGGTGCAGATCCAGGCAATCTGTCAGCCTGTTCATTACCCACTGCGCCGGCATGGCCTGGAGAAAAGATCCAAAGTATGCGCACTACCCATGACCTTTTCAGTGAAACTAGCCACTCTGCTCGAAGCATACCTGTCTTCACCTTTCTTAGCATGCCTTCAGAGTCTGTTACAATTACGACATGTGTATGCATCTTGTTCTCTAGCCACAGGAGAGCTGCAGTTACGGTCTCCACCTCCATTCTCATGCTAGATGGGTGATGTGGCTACATCACGCTGAACCATCTTTATTTCCCAGGCTAGACGTGCACTCAAACCAAAAGGTTCAGGAGCAAGCCTAACGCTCAGATATGGATGAAGAAACGCATCTTTCCACCCGAGTTTACAGCTAGTGAAGAAGAAAACCTGGGAGTTATAACAAATTCCGAACACTTGGATTGAATAATTTGAATAGCATTCTGTAATGTCATCTGCAATAACATCGTCAGCCCAGTACTTTTTTCCAGCAGCAAAACGGGTTCATCGTTTTCATCTTCTCTTCAGTTTCACACACTGGCTCAAGATTAAAATGTCCATCTTTATTGTGCAAACAAATTTTCTTAAGACCTTACAAGTGAATTATTTGGAATTTATTTACATGGTTTGGCTGCAGTTAAAAAGCATTCCTGGAAATCCACAGCTCACAGTGTCGCAGCATGCACTCAGCTCAGTAGCTGGATGATGTAACTAGAGAAAGATATGAAGAAGGAATCTTTGTGATTGTCACAGGGAAGCTTCTTTTTCATCTTTTTCTTCTTCATCTTCTTCTTCTTTGTGTTTACTAGCTGCAAACTCTGCCGGAAAGTTCTGGTTGTTGATTCACTTCTGGACTATAGCCCTGTTCCAAAACCTGAGTGTTTTGCGTGCATCCTAATTACATATCTGACTCATTTGTATGCAGATTCCTTGCTCTCAGGCAGATGTACTCCGACTTTGAAGGATCAGGGAAGCTGAAGTCATTGCTCTTACAGAAGGCATTTTGTTTGTTTTCTCCACGTCTCAAATGTGCCGAGTTTGTTTTTCCCCGACAGACAGTTGTGAACCATTCCTTTGTTATTAATCTTTTCACAGAGAAGATCAGAAGGTCAGCCATTACATTGTCAACAGAATACAGTCGCCAGACGGCACTGCAATATTCAAGATTGGGGACAAGGAGTTCTCGGATATGCCGAGTTTGTTAAGCTTCTATAAGACACATTACTTGGAAACAACAACATTGATTAAACCTGTGAGTAGTTTGTCCTCTTTATTTTCTTTGTGTTTTTCTTCAGAACACCTTTTCTTACTTTATAGTTGCATTCCAAAGAAAAAAATGTGAAGCTCTCTCTCTCTCTCTCTCTCTCTCTCTCTCTCTCTCTCTCTCTCTCTCTCTCTCTCTCACACTCTCTCTCTCTCTCTCTCACTCACTCACTCACTCACTCTCTCTCGCACGCACACACACACACAGAGTGAGAGAGAGACACACACACGCAAATGTGAATATTCTCCATGTGGGTTTCGGATCCCAATTCTGGTGTGGGACAGACCCCCGGCCGATGTTTTATCAGATGTTTTAATTGGGACAGCGTAAGACTGTATTATAGATGTTATAAGGACCCTTTGGGGGTGAGTGAACAGTGCGGGCGCGCAGATGGATCATCAAGGTCTGAAGAGAAAGGTACCATGAGGAGTGACGAGGGGTTCTGGTCGACGCTCAGCACTCAAGGGAAAGGCAAGATGGATATACAATCAAACTGCTTTTGGTACCATTAGAATTGAAACTCTGCGCTTGCTGCTGAAGATGGGTATGGAGTGCTGATGGGAATGTCCCGAGTGCTGTCATGTCAATTCTTAATTAAGCGTTAAACATTATGGTAAAAATTCTTACTAAAATAAACTTTTTGTATATTTATTTTTTACAGGTGCCTAGAACAAAATTGGTGTGTAAATATAAATTTGATGGACGGGTGAGTACCTGAGGATACCTATGTCTTGTCTGGCATAATTTCACTAATTTCATCTATAGTCTTAGTCAGGATTTCAACTTCACTGCAGTCGGGTCATCCCATACTTGCTGTCTTCCTGTGCCAGTGAAAATAAAATGAAATGTCCCTCACTGTTGCATTTGAAAAACTGGTGAACAAACAATTAGTCCCGGTATAATCCAAAAATATGTGCACGCAGTTAATGTGTATGGCAGTTTCTAGAGGTGACAAAGACAACAGTCACCACCAAAAATGCATTTTGTCGATGTTGGAAGTAGTCGGGCACGATAAGTTTGCTTTACACAAGTAGAATTATTACATAAGGTATTTAACCAGCCCACTAGTAAACCAGCTACCGGCCATATTGAATGCGACTCAGCCACTGCACATACAAACGACATTCCACATAAAGAAAAATCACGCAGCTGACAGTGCTGCACCAAGCACGTAGCTCAGGCAGTAAAACTGTAGATTTCTGTCCATGAGGGTTCAAGGCAGATGGGGCAGGCAGAGACCCACTGCTCCTGTAAAGGCGACTAATTACGAGTTTGCTGAAACCAGATGTATTGGATCAAAAGGTGCAGGTTTGAGTTGATTTAAGAACTGACATCATGGCACTCTAGGCATTCCAATAAGCGCTCCATCCCTATCTTCAGCAGCCAGCGAAGAATTCCAATACCAGTGGTACCAGTAGCAGTCTTATTATATGTCTGTCATGTTTTTCCTTGGAGTGTTGAGTTTCGGCTTTTCTTCCTTGCTGCATCAGTCTCACCAGACTGTGGGGATCTCTTTGCTCCTCCGATATATACACGGGCTCCCCTAAGGCCTTAACCATGTTTGTCTTGTCGTACATCGGTATCCCACCAATTTGTACAGAACCAGCCAGGTATAATACTACTCACATGTGGATAAGTGGTCTCCAACCTGGGAGGTGCAACTAAAGCCATTACTAATAAACTACAAACATCCATTAACTGGTGCCTGCACAGAATAGAGGGAATTAAATGGTATGATAGAATCACTAATGTTAAGCTTTGGGAAAGAACAAAAAAATTCCAGCTGACCAAGAGGTGAAGACAAGACATAGGTGTTGGATACGGCACACATTAGGAAAATTTGAAAACAGAATGTCTATTCACACTAGATGCATAGAAATAAAGGCAGACCCCCCCCCCCTTTCCCCCCAGAAGCAAAGGATAGGACAACTTGGTGTGGGTTTGTTGAGGGCCGGGCCTATGCTCCATTAGGGAATACAAGGGTTTGTTGAGGACCTATGCTCCATTGGGGAATACAAGGGTTTGTTGAGGGCCGGGCCTATGCTCCATTAGGGAATACAAGGGTTTGTTGAGGACCTATGCTCTATTGGGGAATACAAGGGTTTGTTGAGGACCTATGCTCCATACAAGGCAGAAGAAGAAGAATCCTCTTTGTGGTGCAGAGACCTGGACATGTAACAGAGTGAGCTCATAGCTTGTTTGTTAAGAGGCACAAAGCTATAATATTAGGAGATCAACAAGTTTTGGTAACCTTGACATTCCCTTTTCCAGAATCTTCTTTTCCCGCCAAAACAAGCTATGGACATCAAACTGAGGTTGTCTGGCCTTGGCCTTCTTTCTAGAAGTTTTGAAATGCGTTTTTCATCATGTGACCCAACCTTGTCTCACTAGTAAATATCTTGTTGTCGTGCCCTATCAAAGCAAACACAATTGTCCTTGTTTTTTTGGAAGCTTCTATGACCTCAATTGTTAGTTTAACTACTATATCTGCGTAAAATAGGATGATGAAATCCAATGCACTTTAGATATTTTTAGAAAATCCCACGTGAGAACGTACCTAGTAAACAAGTTGAGGTGTACTAGAATATTCTAAAAGCAGACAAAGCGAGAAGAAAACAAATACCTAGCATTCCAGCATCCAAGTATTAATAGCGAGTAACAAAGCACTTTAGCAATTCTTCAGTCCACAAGACTCAAGAGAGGAGAGACCAGTCATGGACTCTCAAGACAGCCTTCAGTGGTAGAGATGTTAGCCCAACACTAGAAGCCTTCAGTTGTTGAGACTCAGAGGACGAACGACTAGTCTCAATGATCCTCAATGCCAGCTCAATACTGGAAGGAGAGCAGTCGTTCATATGGAACCTCAAAGACAGTCACTTAAGAGCAGACATAAAACGAGACATCGAGCTACAGAGACGACACACAAGATACATGGATCCATGGAGAACAGAGATACATTAGGAACACTATAGAGATGTTAGAGTCGACGATCAAGCCGTTAGTACCAAACAGCACTAGAAGCCACGTGGCAGTTACAGACACTAGAATTAGTTAACAAAGTAACTAGAGATGAAGAACACAACGCGAACCTACAAGTATTTAGCCATAGAGAGAACACAGCGCTATTCAGAATATCATTGATATTGTTTGTGACATTGTTAAAGTATCACAATAAAGACAGTATAGACAAGAACAGTTGTTTCCAGACACTTTATTATAGAAGCATCAGCGCCACGTGAGAAGCATGCAGCAAGCAAGACATCATTATCATCATAACCACTAACGACACGACCATCTTTCTCCTCGTCTATAATCTTCCAATCGACTCCTCCTGTAGCAAACCTAAAGACGAACCTGGGTGTGACATCAACATACCCAAGGAAGAAGAGAGCTGTGCTCCAGACAGTCAACAAGCAGTTAGAAAAATCTCATTGAATCTGTCAAGATTTGGATATATACATAAATAAAAGTTGATTTTCTGAAATTAAATACATAGGTTCTGAAGAGACTGGGAATGAAGGAAGTAAATAAGAGACAAGCAAAGCTATGTTTCCCTGTTGTGAATTTGAACAAAGAAAACACAAACAATATATCACACAATTTATTGACGGGCATATTTCGCTGTGTCTCGTCAGGGGCTTACTACAGTAACAATTGATTAAAATGAAGCAAATAAATAAACCTTTGGAACTGAAACAACACAAAATCGATGGAGCGTCGAACTGGCAGACAACAGACGTATGGACAGGAAAAAAGGAAAGGAGGAAAAGAACTGGCCATCTCACTTCACATTAATCCTAGAATATGTAACGGTCGAACACCCCCATTCAATCACCAGTATTTGCTGTGGCACAACATTTTATTAAGATTGACAGAATTTGCTTTATCAGAGAAACAGCGAACTAAATATAGAAGAAGGAAAAAATTCATTCTCGTGGTATTTGGGCGAAGGAATTATACCGTAGAAGAGATTGAGGCCTCACCGAATAATTCTCCCAACGACAGCTATAGATCATCATCATCATGTGACCTGCCAACTGGCGAAGGCACTCATGCATCTCCACAGATCACGATCCCTGGTTGCCTGGAACAGCTATTTTGATGATATCCCTCCGTGCCATCATTTCAACCCATCCAGCATCATCTCTCTTGGTCTGCCTCTACCCCTTTTCCCACTGATCTTTCCAAGTGTCAGTGTTCTCCAGTGTCTGACTTCTCCTTATGTGGCCAAAGAAAAGTGTTTGTCTCTTTCTAATTGTTTTTTAAACAGATTTACTAGCTTCTTTCAAGCAATCGTTGTTTAGCTATAGATGCACTGTTGTAAACCTTCATTGTATGGACATAATTTTTTTTTTTTTCAATATTTATGTGCTTCAATGATTTTAAATTGTGGCATATAAGTCAAGTTTTACAGCCTGAAAGAAAATTATTCTAAAACTAGGCGACAACTTCTATATATGTTGTATGGCGGGTCTAAAATACTTTAAAAAAGTAAAGGTCCCTTTTCCACGCCTTTAGGCATATAGGGCTAGACCAACGGCGCAAGATGGGTGATGTGGTCAGCATCACGCCGGCCGCCTCTACTTCCTGGGACTGCCCCTGGTACCCACTCAAGGCTGTGTCGACCAAGGTCATTTTTGAAGAAAAGTCCGGCTCCACCAGGGAGCGAAACCACGACCTTTCGATCCGTGGCGCGCGTCTAGTCGCTCTGCCACGGCGACTCCTCTAAAATACTTATGTAGAAACAAACCTGAACTTATAATTCTGAGGTAAACATCTAGAAGTTGGCTTGTAATCCAGGCTGACATGTGTGCTACAATTTACTGTTTGCCATTTTAAACATGCAGATTGAAACACTCACATGACATTGTTATCTTCTCAGGATCCAGAAGATCTCCCATTTAAAAAGGGTGATATTTTAGAAGTGATTTATAAAGACGAGGAAGAGTGGTGGACGGCAATAAATACTGACTTTCGGATCGGACAAATCCCTGCTCAGTATACAGAAGTGGTAAGTAGGTAGCGACTGTGGTTTAAGTGTTACAAATGCAGTTCAGACTTCCAAAATACTTTTTGATTCAGCTGTTGGTGATTTGGCAACAGCCAGACATATGTATCGGGGACTCATACCATGACCTCAATGGAATTCTAGCACTAAGGCTGCAGGAAAATTGTGACATCAAACTGGCTTTACAAAGGAAATTTTGTTAACATAAAAACTTTACTAAATACCATTTTTGGTAAATAATTCTATTACCTGACCTTCTAAAGGCTGCACAGGTGCAAACTCAACCAGTGTCATTAACTAGACCTCTTAGGGACACGTCACTACAGCGATGCTAGATAAACGTCATTTATGGGATTGAGTCACTGACACAGATGCCTGGTTTGTGACTTCTAATGTAAAAATGGTAATGGAAACTTACCTGGGTGAGACAAAAAGCCATATCTTGTCTACTTTAATGGACAATGGAAACTTCCCTGTGTGAGACAAAAACCCATATCATGTCTTGACTACTTTAATGGTTAATGGAAGATTCCCTTTTTGAGCCATAAAGCCATATCATAATGTCTTGACTACTATAATGGTTGATGGAAACTCCCCTGGTTGAGTCAAAAGCTAGATTATGTCTTAAATGTACAGTAATAAAGGCCTCGTTTTACTGAGACAGGTATATTAATGTGCCAACTCTACATTATTAAGATTCGTACTGTGAATTATAACCCAGATTATGTGTTGACCCACATCTTGGGTAGTCCCAGAATGTCATATGTTAGCTAAAAAGATAGATAAAGGGATGCCTGGTTTTAATGTGGTGATTCCTGGTGTGGGCTCCGAGTGCCTATTGGGGAGGGGGGGATAGACCCACTGTCTCCATAACAGGCATATCGTAAGAGTTGACTAATTAGGGGCTTCCAAAGTTGAAGTGCATCTACATGAGGAGCAAAGACCCAACAGTCTGCATACAAATAAGCCAGATCTGTGAAACAGATGTGCATGCAAAACTCAGTTCTAAAACAAGACTAAATTCCAGAAGTGGGCGAACAACCAGAACTTTTCACCGGAGTTTACAGGCGGTGAACACTAAGAACAAGAAGAGTATATAATGTGGGGATAGTGCTCAATAATGACTGATCCTAATGTAAGAAGCTTCACTGCAATAGCTGATAGTGACAATAAATCTCTCACAGCTGGAGGATTCTGTCCCAAGCAGTAGAACACCAGTGAGGCCACCGCCTCCGATAACAAACATCTATGATGGAGCTTCGGTGAGTTTCTCTTGTGTCTTTATTAATAATTCTATGTGTGTGTAGCCAACTTATCATGCCTGACTACTTCCATCAACGGAAAACAACATTTCTGGAGGCAGCTGTTGGCTTTGGTGCCTCTAGCAACTGTTGTATGCATTTACAGAGTGCAAATATTTCTAGATGGTTCTGGGACTAAATGTTTGTTCACCAGTTGCTCAAATGAGACAGTGAGGGGCATTTCATTTGATTTGCACTGGCACAGGAACGGAGCAAATATGGGGGCACCCGTTGGCATTTAAGCTGAAACCTTGACTAAGACTTCATTCTTTTTTCATTTTATTCATCTGAGTTCTTCTTCCTCGCTTTCACTCCGGTGGAAAGTTCTGATTGTTCATCCGCTTCTGGACTTGAGTCTTATTCCAGAACCTGAGATTTGCATGCATATCCATTTTACATTTATCTGAGCTGGTTTGTTGGTGTGTGATAAAAGAGTTGTTAGTGGGCTACTACTATTATTTTACACACTTTCACTACTGCACTTCCACTACTGCACTTCCACTACTGCACTTCCACTTCTGCACTTCCACTACTGCACTTCCGTTACTGCACTTCCACTACTGCACTTCCACTTCTGCAGTTTCACTACTGCAGATCCACTGCTGCACTTCGAAAGTTCCACTACTAGACTTCCACTACTACAGTTCCACTGCTACACTTCCACTGCTGCTACAGTTCCCCTACTACACTTCCACTGCTACGGGCACAAAGTTTTACATACTTAACTTTGCATCTCACGGTGTTGTTAAGCCACTAATTGTTGTCTTGTTAACACAAATTTCAAGGGGCAAAAAAAAAGTGTGCTTACTGTGGACTTATAATACAAGAGGAAGTCACTGAGTAAAGGCAGTTGGATTAAAAAATTTTTTTTACAAGCAGTCAGAACAAAATTGTTCTTTGTCCTGTTTTTCGAGAGTTCAATGGTGCCAGTTTGGGCTGTGTACTGTCTTTGTAAAGAACCTTCATTCTTCAATTTATTTCGCTGTGTGCCCACAGTAAACAAATAGCACTTTGTTGTTTTTCCACGGTGCTGTGGCCACCTTGTACCAGCTGTTGTGCATGCATGTACTGCAAAAACATCATGATTGCAAAGGGACCATTCTGTGTTCTGAAATATTTTGTTCTTTTGCATACTGTTCCATGCAGACTGGGATACAATTGTCTTTACTGAATGACTTCCCCTCATAATAAATTCCTGCTGGGACTAAAATTGTGTTCATGTTAACCAAATCTTCTTTTTAAGTGTATTTATTTATGTTAACGAGATGACACATTATATTACATTTTAGATTTGTTAAATATCGATGTCCACTGCTGTAAGTCGCAATTGTTTGTCTGTCAGGGGCATTACTCCGTAAGTCTCAGTAGCCTGGTTGCCTCAGGAAAAGGCCAGATTATGTTTCAAAGCCGCACAACTCAGCAGTCAACAAGCCCTTTGCCTCGTCAAATGTCTTACGAATCGGTAGATCATTTTTGCTTTACGCCTTCTGCCTCTAAAGAATTCACTTTTGCTAAATCAGCAGATTTTCCTGCCTTGTGTTTGCTTGCATCTTTGATAAATCTCCCATGTATCAGTTCTTTATTTGTGACAAGGATAACGGGGAACTCTGGGGGTGAAGTGGTAGATCTGTTGGTCTTGTGCTCACTCCTCCGTAGTGTAAATAGTGTGGAGATTTCAGGGAATTATTGCTGGACCTAAGAAGTTTTGCTTTTTGCAACACTCTTATGCAGAGGCCAGCCTATAGAGGATAAAACCAGGCACAATTTTCTTTTAATTCCCCCCCCCCCCTTCCCTCTGGGATTGCACCCGGAAAGACTGGCACCCAGTGACTTAAAGAAACAGCCACTATTCAAATGTAAATCTTCCCCAAGAATTCCCAGGTTAACTGTGGGGAAAATGAGAATAGACCTACCGACCACCTACAAGCATATCGTAAAATGTGACTATTTGGAGATGTTTACTTGCAATAAAACTGTCAACTGATTAATTGAACCCTAAGGTATTCTTGGGCGCAGTTTGAACAGTCTCACTTTAAATCTACAAAGATTTTTAATGTCAAAATATTTTGATAAAAGTGGTCAATGACCCCAGGATCACTGGGGTCACAGGCAAGATCACCACCTCTGAAATTGCTTATGCCTTTTACAATACAGTTTGCATTTTTTCTTAACTTTGCATGTGCAGTTGTGCCAGATTAAAATTTTTGCTTGAAAAGTTTAATTCTTATCATCAGGCGCTTCAAACGTTCTGTAAAAAAATTGTGGGTGGTTAGCTGCTGCAAAAAACAGTAATGCTTCTTTTCTTTATTTAATTTTTTTTTTATTGTTGCCGCTGCTATTTTCAAAATGCAGTAAAATCTTCAGTAATATGTCTTCCCCATGTAGGATAGAATTTTTCATTATTTGAAGCTCCACCCTGGCTTTTGCCGGGGGCCCTAAATATAGCACAGCCATAAATATGGCCTAACGGCTGAACAGGGTTTCCGGGACCTCTCCCCGGGTGATCCTCATCTGCATTTTGGCACCGTGTGTTTATCGCATTTTGTGATGTCCTGGTGGGGTACAACCTACATACATACATACAAATCTTCAGTAAAAAGGAATGTTTTTTTCTTTTCTTTGTGCTTTTTTGTGTGCTGCTGATGCTGACACTCTATAAAAAAAATAGTTTAATATTCTGTAAACAAAAATGCTTTTCTCTACTCTTTGGATTTAAAAAAAAAATTGTTTCTGCTTCTGATTGTCATCATGTAGCAGGTCTTTTGCAGAACGTCTCTCTCTTCACAGTCCGCCTGAAAGAAACTTGGTCTCTCGCCAGCTATTCCGCCTCATGTACTTTCAAATTGAAGGAGTCACTTATATCCTGTGCCTATCTTAGTTTTGGTCAGTCCTTCCTGTACCATGCCTTCTGCTATAATTTTTTTTCCAATCTGTCTTGGCGCTTGATATGACCAACATATTTCATCTTCCAAGACAAGATGCTGTTTATTAGCCAATCTTCCTTGATGTTCAGATCTGTTAAAATGTCAGTGTTTCTCCTCTTCTTTGTTCATAGTTTTCTGAGAATCTTTCTATAGGTCAGCTCAAAAGCCCCTATTTTCTTTCTTTAGGACTGCTGCTGATAACTTTTTTTTTTTTAAATACAGTAAGATGTTCTCTGAAATTTTCTTTGTTGATATGCGCTCCAGGCAATGGCTTGGCCTGCAATGATGTGTGCTCCAGGCAATGGCTTGGCCTGCAATGATGTGTGCTCCAGGCAATGGCTTGGCCTGCAATGATGTGTGCTCCAGGCAATGGCTTGGCCTGCAATGATGTGTGCTCCAGGCAACGGCTTGGCCTGCAATGATGTGTGCTCCAGGCAACAGCTTGGCCTGCAATGATGTGCGCTCCAGGCAACAGCTTGGCCTGCAATGATGTGTGCTCCAGGCAACGGCTTGGCCTGCAATGATGTGTGCTCCAGGCAACGGCTTGGCCTGCAATGATGTGTGCTCCAGGCAACGGCTTGGCCTGCAATGATGTGTGCTCCAGGCAACGGCTTGGCCTGCAATGATGTGTGCTCCAGGCAACGGCTTGGCCTGCAATGATGTGTGCTCCAGGCAACGGCTTGGCCTGCAATGATGTGTGCTCCAGGCAACAGCTTGGCCTGCAATGATGTGTGCTCCAGGCAACAGCTTGGCCTGCAATGATGTGTGCTCCAGGCAACGGCTTGGCCTGCAATGATGTGTGCTCCAGGCAACGGCTTGGCCTGCAATGATGTGTGCTCCAGGCAACGGCTTGGCCTGCAATGATGTGTGCTCCAGGCAACGGCTTGGCCTGCAATGATGTGTGCTCCAGGCAACAGCTTGGCCTGCAATGATGTGTGCTCCAGGCAACGGCTTGGCCTGCAATGATGTGTGCTCCAGGCAACGGCTTGGCCTGCAATGATGTGTGCTCCAGGCAACAGCTTGGCCTGCAATGATGTGTGCTCCAGGCAACAGCTTGGCCTGCAATGATGTGTGCTCCAGGCAACGGCTTGGCCTGCAATGATGTGTGCTCCAGGCAACGGCTTGGCCTGCAATGATGTGTGCTCCAGGCAACGGCTTGGCCTGCAATGATGTGTGCTCCAGGCAACAGCTTGGCCTGCAATGATGTGTGCTCCAGGCAACGGCTTGGCCTGCAATGATGTGTGCTCCAGGCAACGGCTTGGCCTGCAATGATGCGTGCTCAGGGCAACGGCTTGGCCTGCAGTGATGCCTGCTCAGGGCAACGGCTTGGCCTGCAATGATGCGTGCAACCGGGGGATGCACCGCACGGTTGGCTTAGTATCTAGGGGTTATACTTTAATATATGTCTATCAATGTCTGTCCCCTGCAACCACACACTGGATTCCCTCTATCCACTAATTATGCTGCCAACTCTCCTAAGGCACGTCTCATGCTGATAGTGATTATAACCGGAATAAAGGAATGCCAACACAAACAATAGCACCACTATAATCAAGGCACGCGCAACACGCTAATATGTCCTCAAGTCCACCAACACGGGTGTTGTGTGCAATATATGAGTATATGAAACGGAAGTTCATTATTGAACGTAAAACTTGGTGCAGTGCAGCACACATTGAACGCAATGTGAAGAGAGAGAAAAACGGTTGGCTCCAAGTCCCCGGAGAGGAAGGCGGTGATGTAGGTTCTAGTCTGGGTGTTGCCAGACTAGTCCTGCACACCCGCGTGTTACGCTGGCGTTAGGCATACAGGCTATCGGCGAGAGATGCAGCAGAGGCCGGGCCAGCGTGACAGAAGCTTGTGTAGTGAGATGGGAGATCTCAGGTACGTGTCAGGCCGCAGACGGAAGGTCTGGATAATCTTCACAAGGTATTGTGCATCGGCCTGTATGATCTTTCTAGTGACAGTGTACCCAAGGGATGGGTGTCATAGAGACAGTCACGTAATCACGAGCAGTGGGTTTGCACGAGCAGGTAATGTTTGCTCGTTGTTAACCACGGAACAGGGTGGCAGTAGAAGTAGCCCGGAGCGTCCGGAGTGTGTGTTGCCTTGCCAGTAGGAATGACTGTAGCAGTATAGATATTCATGTGGATTCATTGTCTTGGTTTTGAAATACATTAATTATATTTTGACGTTCAACATGTATCCAGCGTCCTTTATTGCTGTTGGGCGAGAGTGGTGACTTTGATCTGTAACACTATTAAGCATACCTGGATACTTGGCAAGTGTGCGGTGCATCAAGTGAGCATTTCGCACGCGTCAACGGGTACGGTAACATAATACACCATGCCAAGCATGATCTGTGCAATCAGTCTCCTTATTAAGGATAAACACAACAACGAGGATGAGTGGTGATAGATTTCACACTGTCAAGTCTTCTACTGCCTTCCCAATCCTCAAATCAGCAGTCCCTCTAGACATGGATAGAACACCCCAGCGAACTATGACCCAAGTGGCTGCTAGAGGCAACTCGCACCCGACTGCACAGATACACCTATGTGATGTACAGTAACAATCCCCTGATGGTTCGTTCTCTAAACGACCCCACCACCACCTGGGATTCGAGATAAATGCACCTCTTGTTGAAGACTCCAGACCTCCTGTCTGCTAACCCAGCCACTCAAATAAGTATCGCTGACTAACATCCCATCAGTCAGCCTCATATCCCCCCCCCCCCCCCCCCCCCCCCCTTTTCCCATCACAACTACACGTTAACGCACAGGGTTCCCCAAGCACCTTCCGTCTCCTTACAGAAACCTGTCAGTCACGAGTCCCATAGCCGCAACACTGTCGACCCCACAACACATGGCTGACACAAGTCTATTCTAGACATCACTGACATCATTTCCAAAAGTCAAACTCACAATACACCACAATCATCCCAGACAGTCCACGAATAAAACATTGTTAAATCACAGTCCATTCAAAGACTGGACTCAAACAACATGTCCATACTGTAAGACGGACTGAAAGCAACTGATGTGGACATGAGTTCATTTTCAGTGGCCGATCACACCTGGGTCTGACAATACCCGTGAACACTGCTGTTATCCACTAATTTCAAGAAACCTTTGTTTCACCCGTCTAGTAGCATGGACCTTTTTACTCGTCTCTGTCATCTTCATCATCGTCTAGCGCCTTTACGACTAGCATAGGTGATCACATCTCTGACCTCTGGTACAAATGAACAGCAAAGTGAGTTCAGCATACAGCACTGATACATTTTAAAATGTTCAAATATAGTCAAATGTTCTGTGGAAATGTTTTCTTCTTGTTTTGTTTTTACCTGCTGCCAATACTTTTTTTTCAAGTTTTAGCCTGCCTTTTTTTTTTTTTTTGGCTTCGTTTTAACTCATATATCCAAGACATTTCTGTGAATGAACACTGTTGATTTTTTCTTTTATATATACAGAAAACTTTTTAGTATTTTTTGTTATGATAGCAAACCTAAGCCTACTGATGCTGGAGAATACATCATGGAGACCAAGTCTCCCTACGCTGGATTGTACGTGAATAGAGAGGCCAAACACCACTAGCCTTGAGACAGTAACCACAACACTGTTGGGAGGAGAATCCTCCTTGTGTTGAGAGAATCATAGCTAAAACAATGGAGGTCAATCCTTACGACATTGCAGAGCAGTAGCTGTATCTTAGTTTCATGGATGTAGAGGCGTTAGGACAGTGAAATCATCTAGTGTAGGCGCACTGACAAGAAAGTGTAGACGCACAGACTAGAGAGTGTACTTTATAAATAAACAAACAGAGTTCATGCACTGCGCTGAGATTCTTCGGAGGCTTGAGTCAGAAGTAGAACGGGGCACTTATGGGTTACCCCTTGTGCCATGATGTTGATCATTTGTCTAAACCATGTACGTCCACCTTTGTTAAAGATTCTTAGCATTGAAGCATCACATTTTCTGATTACATTGTAGAAAAATGTCTGAGTTATGTTAACAATAATGTCATCATTATCATCATGTAGTACAGAACATGGCTCCATTGACATAACATTGCTTCATTTGCAATGCTCCATTTACATAACATCGCTTCATTTGCGATGCTCCATTTACATAACATCGCTTCATTTGTGATGCTCCATTTACATAACATCGCTTTATTTGTGATGCTCCATTTACATAACATCGCTTTATTTGCAATGCTCCATTTACAGAACATCGCTTCATTTGCAATGCTCCATTTACAGAACATCGCTCTATTTACAGAGCAACTTTCCATTTATGTAGCATCTCTTCTGCTACTGGGCAGTGCTCCATTTATAGAACATTGTATCAATTTACAGAGCATCTCTCCATTTACAGAGCATCTCTCCTATTACTAGGCAGCCCTCCATTTATAGAACATCGCATCAGTTTGCAGAGCATCTCTCCATTTACAGAGCATCTCTCCATTTACAGAACATCACATCATTTACAGTGGAGTGCTCCATTTACAGAGCGTCACTCCATTTTAATAGCATCGCTTCATTTATATTGCATTCCTTCATATACATACATCACTCCATTGACATACATTGCGCTATTTACATAACATCACTCCATTTACAGAACATTGCTCTGATTGCAGCCCAACTCTCCATTTACAATGCTACACTCCATTTACACAGCACTTCTCTGTTTATGGAGCAGTGCTTCATTAACAGTGCACGCTCCATTTATTGAACATCGCTTCATTTACATCGTAGCACTTCATTTACAATGCAGCGCTATATTTGCTGAACATACTTTCATTAAAGAACATTTCTCCATTTACAACGCAGCATTCTATTCGCAGAACATTGTTGCATTTACAGAACATCGCTCCAGTTACAGGGCAGTACTCTTTTTACAGGGCAGCACGCTATTTACATAGCATCGTTCAATTTACAGAGCATCTCTTTCATAGAGCATCGCTCCATTTACAGAGCAGAGCTCCATTTACAGCACAGCACTTTATTTGCAGAACATCATTCCATTTACAGAACATCGCTCCAGTTACAGCACAGTGCTCTTTTTACAGAGCAGTGCTCAATTTACAAAACAGCACTCCATTTACAGAGCATCACTCCATTTACAGTGCAGTGCTTTATTTACAGAGCATCACTCAATTTACAGCGCAGTGCTTTATTTACAGAGCATCACTCAATTTACAGCACAGCACTTTATTTACAGAGCATCACTCAATTTACAGCGCAGCACTTTATTTACAGAGCATCACTTCATTTACAGAGCATTGCTCAATTTATAGAACATTGATCCATTTACAGAGCATCGTTCTATTAAGAGCGCAGTGCTTCATTATTCAAAGAATCCTTCTGTTTACAGAGCATCACTGCATTTACAGAGCATCTCTCCATTTACAGAGCATTGCTCCATTTACAGCCCACCTGAAAGAAACTTGGTCTCTTTCAGCTCTCATGCATCAGTCCAGAAATGGACGAACAACCAGAACTTTCGGCTGGAGTTTACAGCCCATGAGTGCTAAGAAGAATATTGCTGTTATTATTATTGCTGCCCCTGCTGCCTTTATTACTTTGACTTTTATTCTTATTAATACTTTTGTTTCTTTAATGTTTCACTTCGCAAAATCTTTTGCTTATACTTCTTTCTATTTTTGAAATTCTGGTACAGTTATTGGCATGACTTCCACTTCTAGTGTTAATTGTCTTGTTATGGTATGCGTATGCTAAAGGTGAGAGAATCCACCTGAGGGTTTTATCCCATATTGCTCTGACTAAACGTGAAACAGCTTGCCACCTACCGAGAATGTCTCACACAAAATTAATCTCCTAGCTATGGTCATCTTTGCAGATTAAGTTGCCAGCAAAAGCCGTTGTTATCCTTCAGCGAATCCCAAGTGCTTATGACAAGCGGATGCTTAAATTAGAGGTAAGCAGTATAGTGGCTATTTCTGCCTGGATCATCTTCATCATCATCATCATCCTACAATGTCTAGTTTGAGTTTGAGAATGGATGTGGAGGCAACCACTGCTGGCTTGAGAATCAGCTGTACACACATGTCGTAATTGTAACTTACTCACATAGTATGTTAAGAAAAGTATGCTCTGTGTAGAGTGGCTAGCATCGCTTCAGATGTCCCGAGTAGTGTCCTTTGGATTTTTTCTCCAGATCATGCCGGTGTGTTGGGAGATGAGCAAGCAGACTGGCCAGTTCTGCACCACTTGGTAGTGAAGATTGCTACCCATACATGTCTTGATGTTATCCTCTCACTTGTATCATTGCCCACTTCTTGCTCTCTTGCCTTTCACCTTTCCCTCCAGTATGGTTTTTAAAAGTGTGGTATGTCTTTTATATGTGGCCATAGTATTTCACTTATCTCTTTTTTATTTATTTCAGTAATTCTCTTTTCACTAGTAGCCTTCCCAGAACCTCTGTATTGGACTGCTTTTGTTTCAATGAAATACGACCTATTCTTCTGTATACCCACATCTCCAGAGATTCAGTTTGATTCCCTAGTTGCTTGTTCATTGTCCAAGTTTCTGCACCATACAGCAAGACTGAGTATAAAGCAAACAAGTAAATGACCCTTTTCCACGCCTTTTCGGGTGTATTGGGTATACAGGGCTAGACCTATATTTTATGGACCAAACGGCGCTTGGTGTGTGATGTAGTCAACATTTACTTCCCAGGACTGTACCTGGTACCCACTCAAGGCTGTGTCGACCTGGGAGCCAAGGTCATTTTTGAACAAAGTCCAGCCCTCATCAGCAACTAAACCCAGGGCCTTCCAATCCGCAGCCGAGCGTCTAGCCACTAGACCACGGCAGCTTCCCAGGACTGAGTATTAATTAGATGAAATTAAAACAAATGTAGATAAATAAATTTTTACACAGTATAAAAAAAATAATTTTGTTATTTTTTCTGAACCTTTCATAAGTTTATGACCCATTTGTTTTAGCATTCACGGAGTGAAAAGGTTTACTTAGTTTTAGAACTATAACTTAGAGAACATGCAGGCATGCCAAGTGATTAATTTAAGATGTGATCTTTTATCCTGTTGCCTTCCTTAGGTTGGTGAAGTCATCACAGTTCTAAAGATGAACCAAAATGGCCAGTGGGAAGGCCGGGACATAAGAGACAGGGAAGGCATATTTCCATTCACACACATCCGGTTTCTGACAGAAGAAGAACTACACAGTTTACCTGGATCAACGTAATAGATGAACATTTTAGGTGTATGTGACTGACATACATATTGTATAGTATGTTATGATAGGTCTTATTTGTATATGTATGAAACTCTCCCTAGTCTAGATAAACAGCCTTTCCCTGGGGTCTGCTGAACAAATTTAAGGGGTTCATGATATCATTGACAAAACCTCTCAACTTTAGATGATTCTAGTATAAATTTACTTTCCCTGGGTTTTTTGGGTAAATCATCGTCTCCTTCTTCGTTGTGTTCACCAGCTGTAAACTCTAGCAGAAAGTTCTGGGTGTTTGTCCACCTCCAGATTTTAGTCTTATTCCAGAGCCTGAGTGTTTGCATGCACATCTTTTTCACAAATCTGGATTATTTGTATACAGACTAATGGTTCCTTGCCTCTGAGATGTACTCTGACTCATTTTCCAGTTCTAGATTTCGGTCTTGTTCCAGAACTTGAATCTTGCATGCACATATGTTTCACAGATGTGGGTTATATGCAGACTTAGTTTCTTGTCTCTCAGGGAGCTGCACTCCAACTTCGAAGAGAAGATCCCTAATTAGTCGCCTTGTATGAAATTCTTGTTAGGGATGGGCACTTATAATGGGGCTTTGGAACCAGCACGGAGACGTCTGATTTTCATTTCTGTTTTTAAAACATGTATACTTTACAATATAAACATGTTGATTTCTGCAGAAAATGGTCAGTTTACACTATAAAAATGTAAATTTTTACAATTTTTAGTTAACAGCATAAACCTGTTATTCTCTATAGAAGTTTTCATAGTTTACAGAATATAAACATTTTAATTTATGTAGCGGAGTCTAAATACAGTACAAACTGCTCTACGGTCATCTATTGACATCATCACTTGAGATGTTTTTTCATAGGCTGCTGGTGTCTGATATAATGTTGAGAATACTATTCTGTTGAAAGTTTACATTATAAACATGTTTATTAATAAGCTGCTGGTGACTGTTGTAATGTTGTATCATAAACTACTTTACAGAAAATTTACAATATCTGGATTGCTGGTGGCTGGTATAATGTTGGATTCATGTTGCACACTACAGAATTGTTATAAATGTGTTAATTCAAAAGCTACTGGTGACTGATGTAATGTTGGATTACAATTGCACAATATAATATTGTTATTTCATAGACTGCTGGTAACTTTTGTACTGTACAGAAAGTTTATAATATAAACTTGGTAATTTACTGGCTGATGGTGACTGGTAATGTTGTACGCTATTCTGCATAAAGTTTGCAATGACTTAATTCAAGATTCTGCTGCTTGGTGTAATGTTGGATTCATGTTGTACTCTTTCATTCATTCATTGTCCTGTTTTGGCACTATTGTCACTGAGTCTGTTCTCAGCCTCTCAGTCTGTTCTCCCATTCCCTTCTATCCTGTGCAGTCACTATGATATCATGAATGAAATCCAGTCCAGCACCTTTAATTGGGAGCTTTCTTCCAAGTCGGAGTGCATCTTCCTGAGAGGCAAGGAACCAGCAGTCTGCATACAGATGAGTCAGATCTGTAAAACAAATGCGCACCCAACACTCAGGTTCTGGAACAGGACTGCAGTCCAGAAGAGGACAAACAACCAGAACTTTCCACCTGAATTTACAGCTCTTGAACGTGAAGAAGAAGAAGTAAATTTCTAGCGTGCTTTTATTAGAGTGACCTTTGTACTGTTGTCAGAATATTTTACCTGTCTCTTTATTATTTCTTTCAACTGCTCTTTTTTTTTTTTTTTTTTATTGCCAGAATTCATTGTCTTTTTGTTTTCATGTGTGTTTGGCCATAACTAAAGTTGGTTCGGATTTGTTTCTGTTCTGTTGGTAAAAGAAATGTTTTTTCAATAGTGCAGGCACAAGCAGTGCATTGCACAATTGATTGCCTGGCATATTTGGCTATATCTCATACTTTGCATTATGAGAATGATTCCTGAAATGCCTGCCAAAACAGCTCTGACATGGATACCAAAGGAAAGAGAAAAAAGGGGTGCCCAAAAACAACATGGAGACGAATGATGGAGAGTGGCCTGAATGCCGCATCTATGACATGGAATGCACTGAAGATTGCACTGGAGAGTAGAGCATGGAAAGTCCTCTCTGAAGCCTCATGTGCCACTAGGCATAAAGAGAACTGATAGGTTGCATTACTGCAGAGTTAAATCAAGCACAAAAGTGATCCTTCCCACTGAAATCACACTGTCTGTAGTCACACTGTACATCTGACTGCTGAAAGTTCATGATAAACCTTGTGATTATCATGGTAGTTTTCAATTGCTGCAGTCCAGAATTGGTGCCAAGTTTTAAACATCTGCAACTCAGTTACCGTTCTGTGTCAGTTGTTTAAATTTGCCATGCAACCTGTTAATAATCATGTCCTTGCAAGACTTGTGGTGTATGAAAAAACAGACACTGATTCAAAGCAAACAAATAGCATTCTCACATGTAATAAGAACTTTTCTGAACATCAAATTACCTATGTTTCACTCTCAGGTCGTCATCTCCAGCATTAGTCTTCCGTTAGTTATGGATTTTTTTATTGTATGTGGGATAGAGTGACAAAATAATCACTACAGATTGCTGCCCATGTCAACTGATTACGAAACAATTGCGCCCCCCCCCCCCCCCCCCCCCAGGTCAGTTACTGAATATTCTATTTTTTCGGAGTATACAAATTATTTGTCAAACAAATATCAAAGAAACTAGCTGCTTTATGAAAACAGCAGCACCTGTGCAATTGTAAATTATAAAATCCTAAAATCACCACTGATAACTGGCATTATGAGAGCTTTTAGACTGAAATGGCTGGGACAGCTTGAAAGAATGTCAGATGACAGAGAAGTAAAAACTGTATACACCAGGGAGATGAATGGTCGTAGATCACGAGGTAGACCAAGAAGATAATGGAGAGATAATGTCCAAACAGACCTGCAGACACTTGGTGTCACCAACTGGACAGAGAAGGCCAATCAGAGAGATGAGTGGAGGCATGTGATATCTGCAGCAGTGAACCTCAGGGGCTCGGAATGCTGAAGAAGGCCAATCAGAGAGATGAGTGGAGGCGTGTGATATCTGCAGCAGTAAACCTCAGGGGCTTGGAATACTGAAGAAGAAGAAGAAAAAGAAAGCCACAAGCAAAAATTAGTTTTGATCCCTACAGGAGTTTTCTAGATCTTTGAGTGAGGCCATGACTTCTGAAAATCAGCTGCAGAAGCCTTGGCTTCAGAGAGGACAAGTGCTAGAAGGAGGAACCTAAAATATGTTGTTTATATTTCTTAAAATAATATATATCACTTTTGTTGTATGACCTGTTTCAGCAACCAAAGAATTTAACATGATAATTTAAATATACATTCACATATATTGTATTCCTTTTTTACTATGCGCCACCCTCTAGTGAGGGCTCCGGGGAGGGGGGAAGGGGGGCGTAAAGCCCACTGCCCCTTAACATGCATGTCATAAGAGGCTGTTAATTCTGAATTTTTTTGTTAATATGAGCCAGCTTAGCTGTAAACCACAACACAGTGTGCCGACTCTCTTTGAAGGCTCAACGCAGAAAAGGAAGAAAAGGTATGTTCCCTGATACTGACATTAATTATCAGGAAAGTGTTTCCTTTAGTGGCTTTACTCTTCATATTCTACTTCGCATTCACCAGTTGTAAACCCTGGCAGAAATTTCTGGTCGTTTGGCCATTTTTGGACTTTGGTCTTGTTCCAAAACTTTAGTTTTTACGTGCACCCCCAATTTTATAGATCTGTTAGTTTCTCACCTCTCAGGCAGAACCGACTTTGAAGCAACCGCTAATTAGCCTCCTTTTGTGACATGCTTGTTGGCGTGGGCAGTTTGTCTGTGCTCCCCTCCCCCCAAAATGGGGTGTTCTGACCCATTCAGGAACTGGTTTTATTGTTTCCTGTTGAGATCAATACGTATTCAATTGTTGCTCAAGTATTGTAGTCAAGGACATCTTGTACATGTCAGCTGTCATGTTTTTATCTGTAGAAATTTGATGTGTTGTTTTGTATGAGGTGTTTTAAGACAGAATAATTGTATCCCAGATCACTTCAAATATTTCCAAAGAAAGATTACCCAGTATAATTAACATAATTATTTTTCAAATAATTATTTTACACTTAGCATATATTAAATTGAACAGTCTGTACTCTTAGTCTGTTACTGGTGAGTCATAATCTTTGCAACATGAATAAATTAATGAATCAAGAATTAACATTCTGCACTCGGAGTTGAAAGGCTAATAATACCAATTGCAACCACAGCCACCATCTTCAGACTCGGAACACAACATACTCCACTCAGTGGACATCTAAACAGAATACAGCCACAACACTTTTTAAAGTGCCAGCTATGTAATTACCCCTACGAAACTGTTGAACACCATCTCTTTAAGTGCCCAAAACTCAGCAAGACTAGAAAAATGCTACTCCCTCCAAGACCAGACAAGTGGAATACCTTGTACGGAGGAAAAGAACAGCTTGTGAAAACGTGCAAATTCCACTGCATGGCATTAAGCCAGAGGGCGAAAGCTGATGCGCCGCTGGATCGATAACAACATAACAACAACAACCACATTAAAAGTCCACTTTTGTTTTTTCCTGAGTGTTGAATAACTTTCAGATCCTCAGCTCACCGTCGGCTGAATTAGTCTGTCAATGTCTGGATGCTTGGTCTGTCCTGTTGCACTGTCTGTCAATGTCTGGATGCTTGGTCTGTCCTGTTGCTCTGTCTGTCAATGTCTTGATGCTTGGTCTGTCTTGTTGCTCAGTCTGTCAATGTCTGGATGCTTGGTCTGTCCTGTTGCTCTGTCTGTCAATGTCTGGATGCTTGGTCTGTCCTGTTGCTCTGTCTGTCAATGTCTGGATGCTTGGTCTGTCCTGTTGCTCAGTCTGTCAATGCCTGGATGCTTGGTCTGTCCTGTTGCTCTGTTTGTCAATGTCTGGATGCTTGGTCTGTCCTGTTGCTCTGTCTGTCAATGTCTGGA